ATTTAACAACGTTAACACTTTTAGATATTTGCTCTAAATAAAGATGACTTTAGTATGTACACTAAAGAGATTTATCCTGTTGAACTTACTTTCAATAAAACTTATACTATTAATGAACACTGTCCTTTTTGGATCTCAATATCTATATCTCTAACGGGAAGCTTAATACTAAAGTTTTCGATAAAAGAGAAGATTTTCATTTCTTACTGTTAATTGTCTGTTTTAGATATTGACGTTCCCTTGGTACCATCGTATGGTGTTTATATATCTCATCTTGTTCGATTCGCTCGTGTATGTAATAACGTGTTTGATTTAAACGAAAGAAATCTTTTATACCTGAAAAATTATTACAACAGGGTTTTCGATATCACAAACTTGTCAAATAAATTTTTCCATCGGTACAAGGACATCATTCGTAATAGTCTGGCCGATCGGTGACAAAATTGGAAAGCACCAAATTTGCCATGGTACTAGTTCTTGGTGGTTCAAAAAAAATATCTATGGACCCACCTTGAATTTTCAAAATGGCGGCTTTTCCAAGATGGCAGCCATAAAATATCGAAATCAACATATATCACTCATATAAGGTAAAATAAGGGCTGATAGTAGTGCTGGGTGATTTGAAAAATTTAAGCTACAAATCCACCTTGAAAATTCTTTATGGCGGCTCTTTCAAAGACGGCCACTGAAACAATATCAAAATCAACAAATATCCCAAATTTGTCATGTTAGTAGTGGTGGGTGCTTCAAACAATATAAGCTATGGACCCATCTCGAAATTTCAAGATGGTGGCTTTTCCCAAGAAAGCCGCCATAAGATATCAAAATCAACAAAATTCCCTTATACATGTTATAGAAAGCGTTTTGTTTTGACGTTTCTTCAGTAAAACTAAGTGCACTATAATACCAAGTGTATGCCACATTTATCAAACATCAAAATATTTGTGAGGAAAGTATAGAAATCGTAACTCCGGTACCATTCTTGCAGAACAGTTGTCTACGATAAGGGATCACGTATAGACACTTGTGTTATTATAATATTTTGGCTAGACATAATTAGAATGTATTCTTCCCGACTTCAACAGTTTTCTCTGTGATCAACTGGAAGAGGACATAGTAATGATCTAAATATTGCAGTTATCTCAGGCTTGTCAGGCCATTAACAAGGCGGGTGCTTGGTTCTTCTGTTAAGGATTATTTTGGTGTTGCAATTGAACAAGAAACCGCAACAATCTGTTTGTAGGACAACGATCCTTGAAAAAGCTGCAAATGCAAGAACTAAGTAGATCAAAAAGACATGGTGTAGGCAAAGTCCTTTCAACAGTTATTAAAATTAGTTTATAATTGTTTGGGCAAATATTCAGATGCAGTCGAGGTATTTCACTGAGGCAAATACGACACTTTTCATTTCAAAGGAAATTTTGTTTCATTTCATTTCATTCGAGCAAAACTGTTCAAATTATTGTTATATTTTACTGTAGATTAAGATATATCCTTAAAACTAACCAAATATAACCTTGCGTTTCATACTTACATCTAATAATAACCGTTGGACGCGCAATCTGTCAATTGCCTAACCAGAAATACATGTATGCCACCTGGTTTAATTAGTCAATTGTGTATCCTTACATGGTATATATAAATAAGTTAACAAAATGATAACACAGATGGCTTGAAGTAGATGATAATGAAAACATTAGATATGTCTTGACAGTATTCCACGCACGTAGAGCCCAGACAAATGGTCATCCGCCTTTATATATCTGACCACATTGACCATATTTCAGGAAGAGATAAAATCTGTCACAACTATTCGACATTCCATGAATACAATCCAGCAATGTGTTTATTTTTTACGAGAAAAGTATCATTTATCACTTGTGATCAATCGTTTTTTGCTTTTCAAAATCGGAACGGTGGACCTGACCAAATATATTTCCAGCAGAACCGAGTTTTGTTTAAGGTCATCGTATAGAAATGGCGTCGTTGAGAACCTAGTGTGATTGGTAAGAAAACAGTGGTTGAACAGGGTTTCAATCAAGGAAACACAGAATTTAATTAACAGCAGATTCTTTTTAGAGGCTCTCATGCATCATGAACAATACATTTCCATGAGGTTACAGTAGGTGTATTTCTCATTCTTATCCAAAGATCCTGACATAATTTTTACTGAGGTACGAGGACCTGGTGTGAACTATGTAACATTCAAAGAATGGAGTTATAAGAGTGATTTTGACAGTCAACTAAAACACAACTGGTCTGTAACATTAAAATTGGTACCGTTTATGTTATTCTAAATGTATAAAGATTCCGTTATACTGCTGATTCATTCCAAATTATGGCTTCCAGTACTCGTGGACGATATTATGCCATTTAACTATTCAGTTTATGTGTTGCAAAGGTAATTTGAAAATGGTAAATGTAGATCAAACCCATGAGTAGAAATACACACTTGTAAAAGGAAAAGGTGAGGCAATCAATCTGGCAATCAATATCGCACAACTACATCATTTAATAGTGTTTTGTCTAGACATGGCTATAATATTTAACAAGTTTCGATCCACCTTTGAAATAATATAACGTGATCATGTAATCTACACTATGTTCTACACCACCAGGTTCGATTTAAAAGTAAAAAACACAACATTCTCAAAGCATGTGAAAACGTTAGGAGGGGTAATGTTTCGGACTTTTACCCAGACTGCTACTTCGAGTGAATGCGGATGACATATACCCTATTGGATGTTTCTCACAAAGGTATCAGCATTTTGTAATGAGCTCGTAAAATGTGGTTGACAGATATAAAACGGATGGCACGGTAGTTGAAAATGCGCGAGGACAATGGTGTTATGTACGGTCCTGTTTAAAATATTGTTAGGAGTGGGACAAATATTAAATGGGCTGATCTTAAGAAACATTTTGAAAACTGCTGTGAAAAAAGTGTTGTTGTTAAGATGATAAAAAAGATGGAAAAGATACTTAGGCATTCAAATCTCATTTATAAAAACCAGATAGGAACATGGATAAAAAACGCTAAAAAGGACTAACAGCAGTCAAGAAATCACTACACAAACATCTAAAAATTGAGCAACACCAACCCCACTTCTTCAAATAGATAAATGATTCATATCCAGTTATAAGGCATGTATCATATAATTAGAATCACAAAATTTAAAACAAGTAAACACCATTGGTACATGTAAATCATCTAAAACTTGACCGAATTGGAACGTTTGAAATGAAATAAGGTAGTCCATGCCTGTACGATGGGGAAACGAATTTCACTGGTTGACAACACATACATTAAAAAAAAAATAGCACAACATTCAAAGCATAAACAACTCGAGTCAAAACTAGGGGTCAAGATGAGTTGTATCTGGCCAACTGGTAGCACTCGTGGTGTTACTAAATGCAAGTAGAAATTTGGTGATTATTCGTATTTATTTATTATCTTGGTGTAATCACAATCGACGAAAAAGAAAGTATTGTGGCAAGAAGAAGTGGAACCTATCCGTTATCATGTGTGACTCAGGTGGTACTTAACGATCAAACAAGTTTTGATGGCGTCCAAAAATCGATCGAATGTTTCCATTTATGGGATCTTTGATTAAATTTTCCTGCAAGCAGGATCCATGTATCATAGAAACGTAATCCCTAGAATATTGTAAGAACTGTACAGTACAATTCGATAGAAGAAATAAATCTCAGCATTTTCAAATTTTCTTCCATTTTGAAAAGAAATAAAAAGTCTAATATAATGTAATTACTTATTAGAAACGCTGGATTACATTTTATATGTTTTTAAAAGATTTTGTTTGAATATTGTTTGATTTGATTTATACAGGGTTGTGAAATTTTGACTAATTGGCAGACATCTTGAAAATGGCCGCCACATTGGATTTTTCAGAGTGGATCTATAGCTTAAATTGACTACTAAATATATATCTGCAATTGAACAAAGTTTATCATCAAATCCACAATTCTTCTAAAAATATGCACGAATCAGCTGGACTATAAATAAAAATCAACGTGCAGACATCTCAAACGTTCAGGTATTTCACATGGTAATATTCTATACAAAACACAAACATGTCGAAGTCATTTACCTCAAAAGCTTATCACAAATACTTATGAAAAATGGATATAGTTACAATACTGTTGTCAAGTCATTAAAGATGGTATTTGTTGGAATTAATATTCATTCACTCATTGGGTCTTTGCATCGGAAACAAACACATTTATACCAGTTGTTGGCATAATACGGGTCTAGTAATTTTCGTAAAAATTACGAAGGCATGATACTAAACCCCTAACGGGATTTTCATATGATCAAGAAATAATCTTTAGTTTAGTTTAATTGAGGTCTGGAGCTGGCATGTCATTTGTTAATTTATTGTTGATTATCATCATTTTAATTATTTTCTCTGTTACATATTGAAACATCGGCCTCTGACTTCTTTTCAACTGAGTTTTACTGTGCGTTTTGTTGTGTGTTTGTTTATTACACATCGGCTAGATGTATAGAGAGAGGGTTCAGATCTCACAAAACATGTTAAACCCCGCCGCATTTTTACGCCTGTCCCAAATCAGGAACCTCTAACCTTTGTTTGTCTTGTGTGGTTTTTTATTTTTAATTTTGGTTCATTTCTATGTTTCGGGATTAACAGTGGTGTCCATTTCACTGAACTACTATACATTATGTCTAGGGTCCAACTTAAGCCCGCCTCCGGGTATGGTATTTTCACTCTGCATTGAAGACCCATTGGTGGCCTTTGGCTTTTTTCTGCTCTTTAGTCGAGTTGTTTCTTTCTCTATTCGATTTTTTTTAGTCCCGGATTTGCAGAATTTTATCCATATCATATGAATGAAATTTCGGCATTTCATAACTGATGTACTACTTTACCATTCAAATATACAAGAGAATTGTGATAACCGATTAAGAATTGTAATAGTGTTAATGCGTTTTATAATGTCACTTTGGATTATCTCTTTTTTTTTAGAAATCGACAAGTTTCGAAGATCCTGCAAAAATAACACAGATCAAATTCAAATTCAATCGGGGAAAGAAGATGGTAAGGATTATTTTTCATTTATATTATATATTATGTATTTATGAAAGAATCAACAATTAAGTTAATTTATATATACTTAAAATGTCGAGTGTTGTTTATATATTTATACAATCTTAAAAGGATTGTCAAGTCTGCAACGTTTTTTAAAGTTTCTATGACGTTAAATGTCGTTATATGATGGTTTATGCTGTAATTGGCATTAAGAGTTCTAGTTGTGGTCAATTTTTTATTGCTATTTTTTCCAACATGTGCTGTTTTGGGCTAGTTCGAAAATTGGAACAAGAAATAAGGAAAACAACAAATTGATATAAACTGAATATTATGAATTAAAGAATACGAGATAGAGAGAAAGCAGGATATAACAAAGAAGGACGATAGAAAACTCATTGGAATATTTTGAATAGAGTTATTTATATTTATGAAATTAAAAGTAAAATGAGGATGCTAAGAAACAAGTATTTTTCGACTTTTCATTTACAAATTAGGCCTTCAACAAAAACCATGACAGTATTCGATTCTGTCAGATCGGTATACTGACGTGATTTTTTTCATTGAATCATTAAAATTTATTGATGTTGTTAACTTTACGTTACAATAGGTTTAAGGATTTTTCTGCAATAAGAAAATGCATCCTTGAATGAAGTCTTTGTTATTATTATGGTTCAGGAAAGACCATAAGATTAATCTTAATGTTTACTTTTTAATGAATGAATTTTCTTTTTATCATTCTTTCAGTTATTTTTTCGGCACACTGAAAAGATTAAATATTGCAAGACTGCAAAACAACCTTATTTCACTCAAAATTTGTCTTGTTGTGGAGTCATGAATATGATAGCAATGGGCTGTAACAATGGTGAAATAGAAAAAAAACATAACTAAAGTACAAACTGTAGAAATCAGCTGACCATGACTTAACTCCTGAAATCGGCGCAAAACACAAAATACAACTCTCATAAAGAAAAAACGACACAAAATATGCAATATTCGTAGTTACTGAAAGCTAGTAAAAAGCCAATAACAACTAATGAATAAATCATATTCTCACAAACTCAAGTATCTATTAGTACAGATCCAACATATTTAGTGTAAAGACGTCATATGGACGTGTGCAAGGCGACAAATTAGTTCATAATTAAGCCAATAATTTTTGAGAACCACTTTTTATATGCTTTAATCTTAAAATCAAACGTAAATTTTTTTTTAAATGTATTGTATAAAAGTAACAAATAAATGATGTCATAATTACGTCATAATATGCACATAGTTCATAAAAGTAAGAAAAATATCAATTTTATGCAATTTCCATCATTTTTCCTCCGTGGAAAAAAAATACAAGAAACACATATGAGTAAAGCTTTCTCCTTATTCCACCAATATAACATTGTTTTATTTTGGTCCGTATTTGCCTTTTTAATCCAAAATTTATTAAAAAGAAGGACACAAAACAAGAAAAATAAAGAATTTGACAAAATATACCAATTTGTTAATAGTTTGTTGCTATGATAACTCATCAAATGTATAACAAAATTGTATCACCTTTTTCATGTCTTGTAAGAGCAAATTTAAGATCATGATCGTTAACTTTAGTTTACATTGAATTTGGGACAAAATCTGAGCCTTTTTGTTGGCGCACAGCATATATTACTTTTCACAGTAAAGGGATGGTATTAATGTTTTCGTGCAAATTTTCGTCGGTAAGAATTTTCAAAGACTTGGACTGCCTTCTCTTTTTGACTTTTTTGCTACTAATTTTTCCTTAATTTTGATATTAAACTAATATATTAATGATTAAATGATTGATAAAGGAGCCTTAACTATTCCCATTTTTTTTTCATTTCTGTCGTTTGCTATAAAAACAAAAATTTTGACAGTAAGTCACTATTAACCAAATATTATTGATTAAAATTGTTTATAGTATTTCAAAGTTCGTTAGTTTTCTGCAATAGGTTGCAGCAGACATTTAGAAAGTCTATTTCAATTTGTATTGTTTTAATATGCACTAAAACATATGAGTTTGAATATCCATTTCATATCTTGCGCTTCTCACTGAAACGGACGAGGTGCGTGGAACTCTTAAATTTAATTTACAAGGTTTGTATTACTAAAATTCACGTGATAATTTCATTCAAAGGGTTGATTGATATACATTAAGTCTTAAGTAAATAAACTGCAATGGTATTAATATATATTTATGTAATACTAATAATAAAACGAATTACAGAAATCACTAAAAATACTGAACAACACAAGAGACCACACAAACCACCAATAACGACTCCTCTGAAAATATAGCAAATATACAACTAAAAAAGAACAACACACGGTCCAGATAGCATGTTTTAGTACAGGCACTTAATATGTGTATGAACAATTGGGTGCATGAGAGAATAAAATTGAGAATGGAAATGGGGAATATGCCAAAGAGACAACAACCCGACCAAAGAACAGATAACAGCCGAAGGCCACCAATGGGTCTTCAACGCAGCGAGAAAATCTTGCACCCGGAGGTGGTCCTCAGCTGGCCCCTAAATAAAATTGTGTACTGGTTCAGTGAAAATGGACGTCATACTAAACTCAAAAACATGTAAGAGAACTAAAATTAAAAAAACATACAAGACTAACAAAGGCCAGAGGCTCCTGACTTGGGACAGGCGCAAAAATGCGGCGGGGTTAAACATGTTTTGTGAGGTCTCAACCCTCCCCCTATACCACTAGCCAATGTAGAATAAAGAAACACATAGCAATATGCACAGTAAAACTCAGTTTAAAAGAAGTCCGAGTCCGATTTCAGAATAGGTAACAAAAGAAACTAAGCAAAATGACAATGATACATAAATTAACAAAGGACTACTAGCAGTTACTGACATGCTAGCTCCAGACCTCAACTAAACTGATTGAAAGATTATGTCTTCATCATATGAAAATCAGGTACAATCCCTCTCGTTAGGGGTTTAGCATCATACCATCATAAAATATATGCGAAGAACATCACCCGTATCATGCCAACAACTGGTTTTAGAATAAATGTGTTTATTTCCGATGCAAAGACCCTATGAGTGAATCAATATTAACACCAAAAACAGGTAACATTTGAAACGAGATGCCTTGGCCATACTTGCAAATAATGGTTTATTTTCTTCATAGTTTTGGCATAAACTCTATGGTTGCACATCCGAAAAAAAGGATAAAAAAGAAAATAAAAAAAAAAAGATTTGACTGTAAAAGACATCAAAACAAAATAATCAATATATCGATATTCCTGTTACATTGTCCGTTTGTCGATACGTTTTCTATTCATTAAATTATATTCATAAAACATATGATAAAATATTTTTAATAACCTTGGTAGAGAATAATTTATGACAAAGAAGTCAAATCCAATTGATTGATTATTTGGACATATATTTTGACAAAAATCTGTTTATTCATCTTAATAAGCATACTTATTACATTGATTACAATGAATTGCCGTGATTTCCCAGTGTAATAAAAACCGTTAACTTCACATGTAAAATAAATATGATTATTTCACTCCTCTGACGTAATACAACAATGGGTGTTTTAGAGACGTTGTCGATGACGTTGCATTAATACAATTGAGAATGCATAGGAAAATATATAGTTCCTTTAATTGTTTTCACTTTATTTCCTTTAAAAAATGTAATAAAAAGAAGAACTAATCCAAAACTAAAATATCGAGAAATATTCAACTCGCTACCGAACAACACTGATAATTAACTCATGCGCTATGCGCATTCGTGAATTAATGTGTTATTTGTTCACTCGTTAAATATTTTTTTCTATATTTGAATTCTTGGATTAGTCATTCTATATTTAATTTTAATTCTATATTACAAAAATATTGTGAAGAAAAGGGAGACCATAAAAAAACTAGTAGAAGTCCAGTGCATTCAGATGCATCGGATGTTGATAAGACCTTACAATTTGCATTGCGTCCTTGATATATTCCGTTACATTTCTTTTCCGATACCCGTAGCGGACAAATTTAACAGGTATCTTAATCACATTTTATAAAAAAAGAAATAACTTTATCAAATTTTACCCTTTTGCGAGAGAAATATTTGGACGATACTGCACTTACATCAATGGAAATGTCTGAAAATGTTACATGTTACACTTATTTGATAGAGTAAATTGCTCTTTGAAATCAAATAATTGAAGAAGACTTTATATTCATTAGAGAGATTATATCAAATCTCAGAGTAATTACAGTACAGTTTAATGTACAATGTGACTTACCGAATTAGACTATTTACCGGATTTGTAATAACATAAGCAACACGCAGGTGCCACATGTGGAGAAGGATCTGCTTACCCTTCCGGAGCACCTGAGATCACCCCCAGTTGTTGGTGGGGTTCGTGTTGCTTAGTCTTTAGTTTTTTATGTTGTGTCATCTGTACTATTATTTGTCTGTTTGTCTTTTTATTTTTGGCCATGGCGTTGTCAGTATGTTTTCGATCTATGAGTTTGACTGTCCCTCTGGTATCTTTCGTCCCTCTCTTTTAAGTCATTTAACTATGATATCTTAATACAATAAGATTTCGGACTGGTTTGACAGTGTCCTGGGGGTAATTCAACACCTGCAATGTTTTTATCATTGCAATTCCTGCTGGAATGGCATAAATCAATCTGTACCTACTTGATTAAATTCAAATTTTATCTGTACAGACATTTAAGTATTCATGGTGGATATATTCATGTAAAATCATGATTTGGCTTTAATGAATAAATTACAATTAAGGATGTACACCTCTGAGGAGCCAAAAATTTCAAGAATTAAACTTTTTTTCTTAACCTGATGTTTGGGTTTATATGACTGTAAAAAAGTAACTGATGAAGAAAAAATCACACGGTGGTGCACTTTTTTTTGCTGCGGCCATTTGAATGTACCCACTTTTTATGATTTTCCCATTTTTCATCAATTTTTACCCATGTTTGAGCTATTATCATGAAAAAAATCGCAATTTCACAATTAAACTTTTTTTTATACTTTCACTAAGATGAAGTGAACCAATCTGAATAAATTTAAATAAAAAACTATAGGTCGGTGTTTATATTAGAAAGTTTTATAAAATTTTGTTGCTTTTTCGTGTCAAATTGACAATGATGTCAATTTTGTAAATTTTGGATTTTTCTCTTTTTTTTTAGAACAAAAAGCATGTTATTTCAACTTCTTTGTTATAAATATTTGAAAAATTACATATCTAAAAACTTTGAAAAGAAAAAATTGATATGGGATGACCATATTTTTGGTAAAATCATTTCTTTGTTCCCTCGCCTATTTTCTGAACATTTTGGCTGATGAAACTTACCAGATTGGTTATAAAATTTGAAAATTTTATTACTCAAAAACTTCTCATTGTAAGTTCACAATTTTTTCACAGCGTATAGTTTGATTATAAATTTTTTTTATATTCATTGATATTTTCGACTTGTATCACATGTTTTGGAAATAATTCCCGAACGAGATTTCAACGAGACTGAAACCTCAGAAGAATACATCCTTAAAAAATCGAAAATCAAATTTGGGATCAAATTTTATTTGAGCTCGTGAATTGACCACATAAAAAAGCAGGAATGACGACTTTTAATAATGTACTGTTAACCCTTTATATTTCATAATATTCGAAATTAGATCATTTCAAGGTGGCACTTTAAGAATTTTGTTCATTTTGATGAATCTCATATTGGGGTTTAAGAACCTTCTTTATGATATTATTATTACAACCATGA